ACTAGTCTCGACACGGTGGTTGGTCATCATGGCGTGTTGGTGTAGTATCCATGTGTGCATTCGAACGGTTTGTGTTCAAACTGTGTCCTGTACTGTGCTCTGCTTACTGCTGTGACCAGGAGATGCTGCTGCTGTGCCCAGTATCAGTGAACTCGAAGCAGCAGAGCAGGAGGCAGCCCGGTTGGGCGGTACGACCGTCATCCAGTTCCTGCACGTGGCAATACTTGGTGCGGCGCGCGTTGGAAAGACCAGCTTGCTGAAGGCATTGCTGGAGAAGATGTACAATGAAGATGAACTCAGCACGCCCGGCATGCGAACGTCCTACGCAAGTACAAACATCTCTGCTGACTGCCGATTCATCGAATGCTCAGACATGCCAGATGCCCTGAGCCGACTCTACGTCAGCACCATGATGTGCAAATCATCCACTTCGAATCATCCTCAAGATAAGGAGACGACACAAGACGAGCAGGAAAGAGCCACAGCAGAAGAGGATCCTGTGGCTGGGACAGCTAACAACAGACATTCCCAGCCCACGGCCATCCACCAGCAGCGCGACGAGCCAGCAATGCGCGAGGAAATCCACGAGACCATCACAGGATTTCTCAACGCAGACAGGGTAAAGTACATCTCTGACCGGGCCAACACGCCCGACTATACCGTCATCACATTCCGCGACCTTGGAGGTCAGCAGGTCTACCAATCCGTGCAGCCCCTCTTCATGGCCAAAAACACAACCTTCATTGCCACATACAACTCTTCTCTGGACCTTCTGGAGGCCCTTCCCAAGCTCGATGAATTGCAGGTCAGCCGGGAGGAGTGTATCGAGCGGGCCACTCTACCGGCCGATGCCACTCGCCTAGACCAACTGCTCGGCTGGCTCGACATACTGCTGCTGAATGCGAAAGCGGACAGCAACAGCACAGACCAGAGTGCTGCAGATGATGTGTTTGTTGTGGGATGCCAGAGTGACAGGTGGAATGAAACTGATCTGCCTGATCCTTGTAAGCTACTCCACGAGAGGATCAAAGGTTCACCATACCAAAACCTTGTTTGGAACGAAACGTCGCACTTCAAAATCGATAACACCAGATCCACTGGCAGTGCAGCACAACCAGATGAGCTACAGCGACTGAGAGAGGCCATCATCGACCGCTGCCGGAAGAGCCAACGTAGCATCCCTGTTCCGTGGCTCCGATTCTGCATAACCATACACTTGCTCAAGCAGGAGGCCTCGTGGCCTTGGATTTCCTTCGAGGAGGCAAAATTCATAGCGAAGCAAGTCAAGGCCGTTCCAAGTGACTACAGTGACTGGCAAATACAGCAGCTGCTTAAGTACTGCCACGAAGCAGGCCACCTGGTGTACCTCTCAACTTTCAAGCTGAAAGACACGATCATCCTCGACCCACAGTTCATTCTGGACTGTGTCAATGCCTTTGTCTACCTGAAGCCTGACCGACACATCACAGCGGACGAAATGCGGCGCTATCATTCTGGGTTCATGACGGAGTCCCTGGCGCGCAAAGCTCTCAACAAGATGTTCGAGGATCCGTCTTACTTCGACCATGCTAAGGCGTGGCAAGCAGTCAAAGCAAGCAGTGATGGGTTCAAGCTCATTTTCGAAATCCTGGAGTGGCTCTCAGTGCTGGCAATTGTGCAGGATGAGAGCTCTGCCGAGCACGAGTTTATTGTACCTGCAGTCGTCGAGGACATGGACATGCACCCACAGACGCCCTCCTGTTCCTGTGCGTACGTGTCTTTGAAGCACGCAAGCCACGATGAATGCATGCGCTTCCCCGTATTCCTTTATTGGCAATGTGTGGTGGAGGCGCTGCTGAAGTCGCGCAAGCGCTCGGCTGCCACGCTCTCACGGTGCAGCGTTCGCCTTCGCTGGAACAGCGAGTGGCCGTGGCTGAACCTGCACTATACACGCTACGGCTTACAAGTGTACGTCGAGTGCAAGGGCCGAGACGGCGGCAGCGGAAAGTCTACGCTGGAGGAAGTCAAGGCAATCGTGCTCACCGTGCTACGGAAGTGGAACCTGCAGGCCGAAGTGATCAGCTCCCTGCCGTGCCCCTGTGGAGAAACATCGGGGGTGGAGTGTTTGCAGCACGGCCTGTCTACGTGCTGCACGCCAAGCTGTGCGCATGCCTTGGATGCATCCACCCTAGTGGCTGAAGACTACCCACTGTGTACACGTTCAAAGCCGGATACACAGATGATCCGTGAGCAGGCCAAGTTCTGGCTGGGCCTTGATCAGGTGAGAGAGGCTTGACCTGATTGAACTGTCGCAGCTATGCTAAAGACGTTAAGTTAGTAGCGCCTGCCGCCAGCCAGGGTCCACAGCGCTATATTTCGTATGTTTGTGTATGTGTGTGTGTGTGGGGGGGGGGGGGAGGGGGTGGGGGGGGGGGGGGGGGTAAACAAACCATATGACTAGTGTGGCCAGGCCTGATTGTACCGTAATTCTGTTAAGCTAGGTTTAGGAAGAGAGTTCTTCACACACAAAGTTGCACCCTGTCTCTATTTTCTTACGACGTGCCGCTTGTTCCCATCGTATGGATGAGGAGATACCAGTAGCCATATTAAGCCTACAGTAAGCGGATCGGGAGACGAAAAACACTTAGGGTAGAGAATGGCACAGATTTTTGAAAGAACGATTCAGGCTAGATTTACGGATTTAAGAATGCATGTATCGTTTTCTACATGTTATCCAGTGGTGTGGTCACATCGTATGATGCTCGCCATTACATGATGCTATTCATGAACAATAACCAATCGACTAACATTGCAACATGTTAGAACAATACTAAGTTAGGCTGTGGTCCTAAGCCCCTGCGTTCTTCGGCGCCCGATCATACTGTACTCTGACTCCGGTGATTATGTTGTGTGTGTGTGTGTGTGTGTGTGTGTGTGTGTGTGTGTGTGTGTGTGTGTGTGTGCCGGTGTGTGTGTGTGTGTGCCGGTGTGTGTGTGTGTGTGTGTGCGTATGTGCGTGTGTGCACGCGTGTGTGTGTGTGTGCGTGTGTGTGTGTGTGTGTGTGTGTGTGTGTGTGTGCGCGTGTGTGTGTGCAGTCGATTTCCAATCGAGAGGTTGCGGGTTCAATTCCCGACGATTATGGCCACATAAGTCATTCTTCTCTTTCTCATTCTCCTAGCTCTTCTTTCATTCCCCTGGGTGGTTACCAACAGCCAGTGTATGTGGCGCGGTGTATGTGTAAAAATGAAGGAAGAATGTAAATGTAAAAAAGAGAAGAAACACATGAGAACGAGTTATGCAGCAACTATCCACGACTGTAAGAAGATGATAAACAGTCAGAAAGTGTGATAATAGGGCACATAACTGGTGTGTTAGAGTTAGGTCTCGGGTCGCTGAATGTCTCAGTAGCTTGTCAGTTTTGTGCCCTATTTAATAAACAGTCAGAAAGTGCGATAACTCGTTCTCATGTGTTTAAGTGCTTTCTTCTCTTTTTTTACATTTATTAGGCCACACGTTTTTATTTCTATGTTTCTCGTCACCCGCGCGCATACGATTCAGGAGTCTGGAAGAAAAAAAGAAAAAAATACTGTGCTGCACTGACTGTGCTGCACTGACTGTGCATGTGGGGTCCAGCACACTCATGCACATGTACATAATGTGGCCTGGCCTGCGCGTGCGCGACACATGCTGCAAGAAGGCATTTTTTTGTGCGCAATCTAGTTGCACATGCTCAGATTGTGACAGAAGCTCCTACCACATACTAGTTGCTAACTATGGATGCTATTTTGCATGGTGTATTGGTGGATTTTAGTGTGAACAAAGGTCTAGTAAACTTTTTTTATTTTTCGGTCATTTTTTTATTTTTTCCACCTCTCGCATACGTTTTTAGATTTTCAGGTGACGAGAAACACAGAAATAAAAAGTAGGGCCTTACTGGCTCAGTATCCGAGTTAAAATGAAAAATGAAAAATAGGGATTCAATGGCACAAGTTGCTATGGCTTCTGCCGTAGCATCGCTATCATTGCCTCCGTCGATGGGAGTCAAATGGCCAAAAAGGTGTGTGTGTGTGTGTGTGTGTGCGCACGCGCGCACGTGTGTGTGTGTGTGTGCGTGTACACTATGTCTCTTGCAATACCTACAGGATGCACGTGGAATGCTGTTTGACCCGAGATCGGCCTCTCTTCCTTCCGGTTAGTTGGATGCACAATACAAACCGATCTGGTACTTCCTAATGATTTCTTTGCCTGATGACCGCAAAAACAGTTTTGGGGTAGATCGGCCGGTTCCAGTATTGACTATTGAGCACTGCGCGAGCAGAGGACTAGATCTACTGTGTATACAATATCAAATTTGAGCCTCTTCTCACCTTCCTCTAAGCTGGTTCATTGTTGTGTTTCTCAATACAATTGCATAGCCGGGTGTAACGCGGACGTGCAATCTTTTTCTCACCGCAAGCTGGTGTTTGATCCCAGCTGACACTGAAGTTCTGACTCTGTTTCGGGCCCTGGCCAAACACCATGTCATTGAACGTTGCTAAGGACTCGCTGTAATGTTTTGTCGTCCTGATGTGAACATCGTTCGTGGAGGGGGGGGGAGTGAAAATCATAAGTTGACCAACAATGTACATGTGCGTTTGCATGCATGTGATTTGTGTTGTCCAGCATTGCAAGCTGTGTTCATTTTCGAGGAGTGAGGGTCCGAGTACAAAATGAACGATATTCATTTCAGTAATTTGATAACCGCAATCAATAAGACAAGCTGAATCGACATTTGTGTATACTTTATTCATGCAATGTAAAACGGGGAGACAATGTGGATTTTTTTATTGCACATTCTCTCCACCGTTTTATAAACTTCTGCAACAAACCGTGTGTGATTGCCTGCGTGTGTGTACATGTACATGCTGCATCTGCATGTGTGTGTGTGTGTGTGTGTGTGTGTGTGTGTGTGTGTGCGTGCGTGCGTGCGTGCGTGCGTGTGTGTGTGTGTGTGTGTGTGTGTGTGTGTGTGTGTGTGTGTGTACTTGCATGTGTGCATGTCTCTTGGCCACTCCAATGGCACGCCGGCTGTTGCCTTGCAGCAGAAACCTGGACTTACGGCGTCAGTGGAAGTGGTGGTCACGGCGTCAGTGGAAGTGATGGTTACGGCGTCAGTGGAAGTGGTGGGCATGGCGTCAGTGGAAGTGGTCGTCACGGCGTCGGTGGAAGTGGTCGTCACGGCGTCAGTGGAAGTGGTCGTCACGGCGTCAGTGGAAGTGGTGGTTACGGCGTCAGTGGAAGTGGTGGTCATGGCGTCAGTGGAAGTGGTCATCACGGCGTCAGTGGAAGTGGTGGTCACGGCGTCAGTGGAAGTGGTGGTTACGGCGCCAGTGGAAGTGGTCGTCATGGCGTCAGTGGAAGTGGTGGTCAGGGCGTCGGTGGAAGTGGCCGTCATGGCGTCAGTGGAAGTGGTCGTCATGGCGTCAGTGGAAGTGGTGGTTACGGCGTCAGTGGAAGTGGTCGTCATGGCGTCAGTGGAAGTGGTGGTCACGGCGTCAGTGGAAGTGGTGGTTACGGCGTCAGTGGATGTGGTAGTCATGGCGTCAGTGGAAGTGGTGGTCACGGCGTCAGTGGAAGTGGTGGTCACGGCGTCAGTGGAAGTGGTGGTCACGGCATCAGTGGAAGTGGTGGTCACGGCGTCAGTGGAAGTGGTGGTTACGGCGTCAGTGGAAGTGGTGGTCATGGCGTCAGTGGAAGTGGTCATCACGGCGTCAGTGGAAGTGGTGGTCACGGCGTCAGTGGAAGTGGTGGTTACGGCGCCAGTGGAAGTGGTCGTCATGGTGTCAGTGGAAGTGGTGGTCACGGCGTCGGTGGAAGTGGCCGTCATGGCGTCAGTGGAAGTGGTCGTCATGGCGTCAGTGGAAGTGGTGGTTACGGCGTCAGTGGAAGTGGTCGTGATGGCGTCAGTGGAAGTGGTGGTCACGGCGTCAGTGGAAGTGGTGGTTACGGCGTCAGTGGAAGTGGTAGTCATGGCGTCAGTGGAAGTGGTGGTCACGGCGTCAGTGGAAGTGGTCGTCATGGCGTCAGTGGAAGTGGTGGTCATGGCGTCAGTGGAAGTGGCCGTCATGGTGTCAGTGGAAGTGGTGGTTACGGCGTCAGTGGAAGTAATGGTCACGGCATCGGTGGAAGTGGTGGTCACGGCGTCAGTGGAAGTGGTGGTCACGGCGTCAGTGGAAGTGGTGGTCACGGTGTCAGTGGAGGTGGTGGTCACGGCGTCAGTGGAAGTGGTGGTCACGGTGTCAGTGGAAGTGGTGGTTACGGCGTCAGTGGAAGTGGTCATCATGGCGTCAGTGGAAGTGGTGGTCACGGCGTCGGTGGAAGTGGCCGTCATGGCGTCAGTGGAAGTGGTGGTCATGGCGTCAGTGGAAGTGGCCGTCATGGCGCTGATGGAAGCGGTGTTCACGACTCTGATTTCATGTCACTTGGTGCCATTGGGTTAGTGCCGGCTTTCCTTGCAGGTTAAGAAAGAAGTCAAATACGCTGCCTTGGACCTGACCAATCAGCAGCTTTCATTAAACGTAGCATTCAGGGTAAGGGCCGGGTTTCACTACGGCTCCGCTGCTCCACGGCACTTAGCGGCATGCAGCGGAGCAGCGCGGTTCCACTGACACTCGCCATTCGCGGTACCGCGGTCGTGCTCCACATTTTTTGATGACGTTTTACCTGCCTGCGCGCGCGCAAAATCGAAAACATCCTCGTGTTCTGGCCTGCGCAACGAATTGAAGTTTGAATTTAATATTCCCGCGTATAAAACAATGCAAAGTACGGGAAACAGGTCGAGCCGTGACCGCGACTTGCCGTTTTTGATCAAGCCGCGAAGCGAGAGCTGGTGGTGAGCCTCGGCCTCGCTGCACCAGCTCGAGCCGCGGTCACTATGGTAATGATGACGTTTCATGCCGCAGATGATGTGCAGCGGAGCCACAGTGGAGCCCAGCCCTAATGGAATCACTGAGAACATGCTGCCTGCACATTTAGTGAGGGGTCTTTCTGACTTAATGCTCCATTACATTTCGAGGCTCTACTGCCCACCGAGAGCCAGTGGTTGTGAGACTTGCCCACTCACCCCCACCGTTAGGCGCTGCATCTGCCGCTAGGGTTTATCGGGTGTTAGCGGCCGTCGTTCCCTTCGGGAACGGATACGATAATTTACTTTTTTTTTACTGCCCACCGACGTGTATGTGTGTGTGTGGGGGGGGGGGGGGCTATCCTGTCGACTGAAGAGGGGGGGGGGGGCTCTGCTGTCCACCGTGAGGGGCTCTACTGTCCGTCGATGGGCGGGGGGGGGGGGGGGGGCTTTACTGTTCACCGGGGGGGGGGGCTTTGCTGTCCACCAGGGGGGGGGGGGGGGGGCTATACTATCCACCAAGGGGGGGGGGGCTTTACGATCCACCAGGTGGAGGGGGGGGGGGGGCTTGCTGTCCACCGAGAGGGGGGGGGGGGGGCATCAGGTGAGGCTCTACTTCCCACGGGGGGGGGGGGGGGCTTTTTTGTCACAGCACTACTTACACGTAGAATCTGGATCTGTTTCTAGTTTTTGTTTTGTTTTATATACCACTCTGCGCTGCAGTGAAAAGACGATCGATCTAATTGACGACTGGTCTGCGTTTGTTAGCTCGATTGAACCGTTCATCGGTGGAGAGGAGGAAGGTGATGAGAGAGGTTGGTTGCTTTTTGAACTCCGCAATTCTTCATTCTGTATTTCAATACTGCCGGGTGGTGATGGTATTTTCTCCGGCAATGACATGGCAGAGTTTTAGCAGAGCTTTAATACGGGGCGGACAATGACTACATACATGTACATGTATAGTTTGAAGTACTTCTGGAGTCAAACGTATAGGGCATGAAAGTGCTATGTCACAGCCATGACAACCCTGACTTTTGGATCAACTTGGATCCCGGTTTTCGGTGTGAATCCTTACACGATTGGGTGGTTTTCCATCACGGCATATTGACACATCCACCGGTAGTGACTGAACTGGGCCCTCCCGGTCAAGGACCCACTCCTGGTACAGGAGAAAATCACACCTGGGTGCGACACGAGGGAGAGGGTTCCAACCACCACATCCTATACTTCGCTATGGGCAGTGTGGATCCAAGAGTCGGTATTTGCCGTTAGATTTTGACTTCCGACGTCATCGCTTTCAAGCCCTATACTGTATTACTTAAAGACATTGTTCAGGGCAATACGGACAACCCAAGTCACGACCACACATCGAAAACTACTGCTCGCTTGAAGACTGTATAAAGTGTATTCACAAACAACAACAAATCTGAAAACTCTGAAAAAGAAACTAAACAAAAAAGCCACGAGGTCCGCTCAGTGCCTCGCGCACCAAGACCATCTACGAAAATGGAGGCATCGCAGTTCGCCTTCAAGGAAACAGCAACTATTGCAGCGAAGCGGTGAAAACTGCAAGAAAGCGAAAGCCATAGAATCACGGACACAACAGAAAAAAGCCTGTACCAAAGAAAGCGCATCGCTAGCCGCACAGTACACACACAGCGCACAGTTCACTGTACATTTGGCAAAAAACATAAAAGAAAATCAAGACTGTTCAAAGCGCAAAAAACACATGTTCACGTCATGTTCAAGGAAATTCAAACGAAGAGAAAAGAGAGTAGAGAAGTTTAGAGAAGTACAAGAACGAAGAAATGGAGAAGAGAAACGTTCTTATGATGAAGAGTAGAGAGAAGAGCAGAGAGACAGACTGGAAAGAAGTTCTACAGAAGACGTGAGAGAGAAAAGGTGAGAGAATAGACAGAACGAAAATAGCAAAGACAAAGTTCACAACAAATTCAAAACAATGTCGATCTTGTTCACAAGTTCAACCATCAGGCAGGAACATTCTCCCCCCGGTAACAGGCATACTCACAAGCCTGATTACTAAGCTGCACTGCTGAGGACATTCAGGCGGCACAACTTGACTACTGGTCGGCGGAAGGTGCCGGTTGCCGTCTTCACGTCTGCAACTCGGACTTTCCCATCACGCCCGGGAAACACGGCAGTGACGAGACCTCTGGGCCAGGAGCCCCTCGGCAGCTGATCGTCCACGATGATTACTACATCACCCACACTGATTTCTTGACCAACGCCACGCCACTTCTTGCATGTGCCGAGGCTGGGGGCATACTCCTTCAGCCAACGTCGCCAGAACATGTCAGCTAGGATCTGCGATAGACGCCACTGCTTGCGACAGCACAGGTCGCGCTCTGTAAACTCTCCGGGTGGCTGTACGCTACTAGATGTGCCGAGCAGAAAGTGGTTAGGTGTGAGGCTCTCCGGATCGTTGGGGTCCACTGGCACGTGAGTCAGTGGTCGGCTGTTGACGAGACTCTCTGCCTCAATCATGAGGGTCAACAGTACCTCGTCCTTCGGAGCACGCTCATGCAGTATCACCCGCAAGGTGGACTTCACAGATCTAACCAGGCGCTCCCAGGCTCCACCCATGTGCGGAGCAGATGGCGGGTTGAAGCTCCACTCGATGCGAAGTAACGCCAGGTCGGTGGTGAGCTGGTCTTGGTCGAGGTCGTTCAGGGACTCACGCAGCTCTCGTTCTGCTCCTCGGAGGTTCGTTCCATTGTCGGACCAAATCTGACGAGGTCGACCACGCCTGCCGATCATCCTACGGATGGCCATGATGCAGGCATCCGTGGTCAGTGCATGTGCAACTTCCAAGTGCACAGCTCTCGTGCTCAGGCAGGTGAACAGCACACCATACCTCTTATCGTGCCGACGTCCGACCGCCACTGTCATCGGTCCGAAGTAGTCCATGCCAACCTCTGTAAAGGCTCGAACAAACGGTGTGAGACGAGTGCTCGGCAGGGGTGCCATCTCTGGCGCAGCTGGCTGTGCTCTGTCGTTGCTGCACTTCTGGCAAGTGTTCCAAGAACTTCGGACAGCTCCTCTCAGCCCCAAGATGAGATAGCGCTGCCGCAACTCATTGCACACACGCTCTTGCCCTTGATGACATGACGCAACATGATACCACGCAATCAGCAGCCGGGTGAAAGGGTGACTCGGATCGAGCACAACTGGCTGCTTGACCATGTCAGGCAGATCGGAGGAGTTGACCAGTCGGCTGTGGTGACGCACTACTCCATCAGTGAGCACAAGCGACAGATGTGACAAGCGGCTGTCCTTGTCCACGGGCTTCCCAGACTCGATGCTGCGAACTTCAGCAGGGAAACAGTCGGCTTGCACTTGCTGCCACCATAGACGCTCTGCACTCTCAAGCTCCTCAGGTACTAGCTCTCCTGGGGGTGGTGCTGATGTACGTAGCGCTCGGTGCTTCAAGATCTTGACGAAGCGGAGTACCCAAGCGGTTGCACGGACCAGTCTCATCCACGATGAGAAGCGACTAGAGTCAGGTAGCGCTGCATTCCGCACACACTCACTAGACACAGCTGTGGCTACGAACTCGCCTTTCAGCTCGATGCTGGGACTTGAGTCGGCTACTGCAGGCTTGACATCAAGCGGCCACTGCTCTGGCGGACTCTGCAGATACTCTGGGCCGGTCATCCATCTGCTGCCAAGTGTCAACTCGTCGCTGGCCAGACCACGCGTAGCGTCATCAGCAGGGTTATCCTTGGTGGGGACCCAGCGCCACTGACTGGGATCCGTCGTCTCAGCGATCTCACCAATCCTGTGGGCAACAAACGTCTTGTAAAGTCTGGCTTCTGACTTGATCCACAGCAGGACAGTACGCGAGTCGCTCCAGAACGTTGTGGAGCTGATCGGTAGATCAAGCTGCTTGGTGATTGTGTCTGCCAGACGTGTTCCCAGCACAGCAGCTTGCAGCTCAAGACGAGGAATACTGAGCGGCTTGAGCGGGGCGACGCGAGCCTTTGCTGCAACAAACGAAACGTGTACAGCACTACTCTTGCTGGTGGCTCTGATGTACGCTACAGCTGCGAATGCTTTTTCGCTAGCGTCGACAAACATGTGCAGCTCTAATCTCTCGGCGTCTGCTAGCGCAGGATGGTAGCACCGTGGCACCTGCAGCGACGCAACTTCATGCAGGCCGGCTTGCCACTTCGACCAGCGCTCAGCCATATCATGGGGCAGCTCATCGTCCCAGCCAAGGCCTGACCTCCATACGTCCTGCAGTAGTATCCTGGCGGTAACGGTGTACGCCATCAGGAAGCCAAGGGGATCGAACACCGACATCACGTAGCGCAGTACTGTCCGCTTGGTTGCCGAGACGCTGTCGGGCTGTGCTGATAGCTTTGCTCCAACGGCAAAGCTGAGACAGTCGCTGTTCGGGTTCCATATGAGGCCAAGTGCCTTCTCTGTGGAAGCGTTCCCGGTGGCGAGATTCACCACTTCAGATGAACGAAGTTGGGTGGGTATCCTCTCAAGAACCTGGGACGAGTTACTGACCCAGTTCCGGATCTCGAATCCTCCCCTCCGGTGAATCTCAATCACCGCTGCCGAACGGCTGATTGCATCACACTCCGTAGCTGCACTGTCGAAATAGTCATCCACATAGTGGCGGTCAGTGATGGCTGTGACAGCTTCAGGTAGATCCGGACCAAAGACGGTGGCACTATGGTTCTTCACATGCTGAGCTGTGGTTGGAGATGACACTGCACCAAACGTCATCACCTGCATCTCGTACACATCTGGAGGGCGACTGCGGTCGAGGCCTCGCCACAGGAAACGTTGGGCCGGTCGGTCCTCTGGCCGCACACTGACTTGGTGGAACATTTCCCGAATGTCACCGCCGAAACCATACTGAAAACGCCGAAAGTTCAGCAGCACTTGCGTCAACGGCGTCAGCAGGTCGGGTCCGGGCATCAAAAAGTCATTGAGGCACTTGCCATGCGATTTCCCGGCTGCATCGAACACAAGTCTCAGCTTGCCCTTCGTCGGGTTGACCACGGCAAAGTGCGGCAGGTACCAAGTGTTAGGTGGTTCACATGCGGCCTCTGCTGCTGATAGGATGCGTGCATATCCCTTCACCAGGTAGCTCTCGATCTTCGCTGCATACTGGCAAGCGAGGGTCTGGTCCTTCATCAGACGGCGTTCCAGCTGCTGAAGACGTCTGTCGGCCTGCTGTCGGCTCTCTGGCAATTGCGGGTTGTCGTCACGCCACAACAGTCCTGTCTGCCATCTGGTGCCATCGTGAGTCATGGTACTCAGCAACTGTAGCGCCCGCTCATCGTCCTTGCTTCTGGGTAGCGGCGCTGGCTTGACCCCGAAGTCATCTACTGAAAATGCTCTCTTGACCAGTTCATGCAGCTCGTCATCCGCTGACCACGACACGAAGGACACCTCAGAGTCCACTCTTCGGCACTGTCCGGTGTTGCCGTGCAGTACCCAGCCGAGCTTAGTGTTGGTGGCTACAGGTGCGTTCGGCGGACCTTCCAAGATCTCCCTTGGTGCCGTCAGGTGGTAGTGGTCCTGGCCAATGAGCAGCATAGGCGTTACCTCTGCAAGTGAAGGCAAGTCGATGTGCGCCAAATGCGACCACTGTCGGGCAAGTTTCTGCTGGTTGACAAACTGCTTCGGCAGACTGAGGTTCGCCACCGTCCGGACGTTCTGCAAGTCAAACTGCTCACCTCCGTCTCTAGGTGAGATGCACAGATTGACACGGCATGAGTTGGCATGGTGCTGACTGTGATTCCCAGTCCAACTCAGGTGCAGGGGATCTACCGGA